GACATGAGTAGTTTTATTTTGTGAATCTAATTTTTTAAGAACCTATTTAATTTGCAGCGAAGCGATCAGAGAATATTTGGCGCAATATAGAGCCTCGCTTCAAAGAGCGTAGAAACTCAGAAAGGCGTAGAAAATTTTTGCAGTAACCTATTAATATATTTGGACCTACAAGAAGCTAAAAACTAAAAATTTTTACTCTTTTTCTACTTTGTTTTCGAACTATGGAATTAATAGCTGCCGGTTTGGACGGCCGTTGTGGAAAATGTAGTTCACCCTTGAGTCTTCAGCGAAGAATGTTCACTTGTTTTTTGATGGTAACCACAGTCAGCCACTATTTCCAGGTGCTCCAACTGTGCTAACCCCCTTTGAGAAGTCAATGTGAGGAACGAGTAAGTGATAGAAATGAGCAGCAGGAAAGTAGCATCCTAAGTTGACTGCAAAGTGTCTACGATGTAGTGAAAAGAACTACATGGTCCAGCACACTCCCTCTCCCTTCATTGACCGTGCTCCATTATGACATGGGCTTTAGTTGGTGTCAACTTGCAATGTACCGAGCGAACCTTTCACACAACGGTATCCTAAAGTTAAAAAACCCCAGCTAAGATCAAACATATGCCAAGAGTTCGATGAGATTTCTGCTGATCGGTTATCGTCAAAAATACAAAGGTCATCGAACCAAGGTCTTGTGTTCTTTGTGTCACTTATCCCACTTTGGAAACATATTGGCAAGAAAAGCTGGCTCTTACGACTGAACTACATCAGAAAAACTTCGCTCTGACAATCTAAGTATTCTATTCTCTATTAACTCCCACGTCCGACTTTCCATTAACCTCGGAATTGATTGAGTAATTCTTCTTACTTCTGTTTAGCAAACACGAGGTGTTATTTTATTTCCTTATTTACGTACAAGCTGACGTTTCGGCGGATTTCGCCTTTTTCAGAGTCTGGAAAGGTCAAGTTAAATGCAATCTACACGGCCAAGCACCTCCATAACCAAACGGAGAAAATGCTGAACCAAAATTTCAATCACATTGAGCACAGCTTTGCACACTCACCGCTTTCCATAAGCCTTCGACTAAATATATCACGTGGAGACCAATCGCACAGAGTTCACATGAAATCATAATGTGCCCATCTCATCAGAATAACAGGCTTATATACTGCCATCCGCGAGCTCCTAATACAACACGAAGGACCAATAAACATGTACGGCTTCTCGATTCAGCAGTTTATGACAGTCTTAAAGGAGTACCTAAACTGCTCATTCTTTAGATGGTCCGGGAGGTATTACGCACAAATGAGAGAGCTGGCTAAGGGACAACGACCGGCACCAAGCCTTGCCACTGCATTCATGCCTAAGGTGGAAGCACCAGTAATCGACCTCGGCTCGTTACTCTATTGTAGATATATGGATGACTGTTTGGTCATTTGTTCAACATAAGAAGAAATTGACAGATGTTACGTGTGTTGAACGGACAGTCAGAGTATATTAAATTCAACCGAGAGAAACCAAAAGAGAACTGCCTTTCATTTCTGAACTTGCAAATTAACGTATCAGGAAACGACTACATTACGAAATGGTATCGAAAGCCAAGCAATAAAAACATCTTCATTACCTCTCTTCTCACCTCTCTCACAAGAAAAGAGCGCTTGTAAGAAACATGTTTCGAACAGCAACCAACGTGTGCGCGGGAAGGGAGAAGAGAGGAGTCCCGGAACTTGGCGCGGCACATAGCCATTTTTAATGGCTACGAAACTGTAGCTCGAGATAGGTGTAGAGGAAACCGTAGATACCCCAACGATAACTCTAGCGACAACAAGGTCCCTTCTATACTGCCCTTCATTTCAAATAAAGTAAGTACAGGTATGAAACTCTGTTTAAGAAGGGCCGGTCTAGAAAATTCGGTGACGATAATTGAAATGTTACCGAGTTATCTAAGACACCATCTTGTTCCTAACCGCTTATACAACCGTCTATGTGCAACGCAAAATTACATAATTTACCCCAATGGTAGAGTCGGTGATAACATGGGCTCGGGTACAGTTTATCTAATCTCCTGTAAGGCGTGCGGAGACGAATACATTGGCGAAACGGGTAGACCACTCTGCGAACGTATGAAAGAGCACCTAGTCGGCAAACGTAAACCGAATGCTCCATTAGGCACGCATAGGACCCAGAGACATAACGGGGAAGACTTTGAAGTATGTGTCACGATCCTCGCACAGGAATCGAGAACACAAGAGCGCAAAACTCTAGAGGCATTCTGTATTAATTCCAGAAATCCGAAAATAAACCACAGGGAAGAATGCCTCATTATCGCGCGTGATATTGAGCAGTATATAAGCCTGTTATTCTGATGGGAGGGGCACATTGCTGTTCCACGTGAATTCTGTGCGGTTGGTCTCCACGTGTTATAGTGGAGGACTTATAGAAAGCGGTGAGTGTGCAAAGGTTCTGTGTTCAATGCGATTGAAGTTTTGGTTTAGCATTTTCTCTGTTTGGTTATGGAGATGCTTGGCCGTGTAGATTGCAGTCAACTTGACCTTTCCAGACTCTGTGGAAGGCAAAATCTTCTGAAGCGTCAGCTTGTGCGTAAATAAAGAAATAGAATAACACCTCGTGTTTGGTAAACGGAAGTGGAAAGAATCTGTTCTGTATATTTTTTCTTTACACTATGAAAGTTTTTGTAGAAGAAAAATAGTTCACATTTGATATTTTTCTATCTTGTTATGGTATTTCTTTCTGCCATTTTTTCTGCCAACTCATCATCATCCCGCTCCCTCATCCGAGATCTTACATCGCACACCTTAGGGTTGATAACGCGAGCAGAAAGGTGATCATGCAGTTGCGTTAAGACATAGTTGAATTCAAGAGAAGAGTCATGTGTTTCGACTTTATAGGTTTTGCTTATTCGTTTTACTCTGCATGTGTCTCTTCATGTGTGTTGGTTGTATGCTTGCACAAATGCTGCGAATTGCATTCTGTCCTTTGAGTGAGAGTCGTTGTGGTAGCGGTTCGTGATCGCCTTCAATTTTCAGATGAGCTTAACGTTTACTAAAAAGAAAGCTTGGTAAGCTATAAATGCAGCAAGTTTTTAGAGGAAGACTACGCACTTCTTCGTCAAATATTATAAATACTAAGGCCTTAATCTCTCAGCGTGAGCATCGAGCAACCAAACTCTACTGGTCATCTTCTACCTGAATAGCCATCGCACCAGAAAAACAAGCTCTGACCTTGATAGCATCCGTTTGAATTTATGTAAATGCAAGCAATTTTTGCTCTCTCTTGCGCTGTGGTTTGGAACTGGTAGAACATCGGTAGTGATGTCCGTCATCACGAGCATGGTGCTAGCTCGATTCTGTTCCGGGTCAAGCGAACCCCTCATCCCTCCGTGGTCGAGAAATTGGTACCGGACTTCCTTGGGAAGAAATAACTCTTTGCAATCCAAATGAGAATGCTCCAGCCTGGCCATCTCAGGACTTCAGGGAGAATTGCTCGGCCAGCATTCTACGACATTCAAGATGAAATGAAAATCCTCAAGCAGCAACCGAAGCCATACTTAAAATTTGATAGATCTTCGTGGCCAGTGGATGCGAGGAAACGAATTGGAGGTGAGAAGTACTGGGATCCGCATAGTGGACTTGAAGACGGATCAGATGAAATAATGAAACAGAAATAAAAAGTTAGCGAAGGCGAAGCCTGAGGAAGACGAAGACGTCGAAACGTTAGCCGAAAATAAACATCATTATCAACCTCGTGTAAGCTCATCAAAGAAAGAATACATATTGATTAGTGATACCGAGGTTCAAGGAAAGTCGGTTTCGAAATAAAAAGTTAGCATTATAGCTACTAAATATAGTTCTTTAGCAGGACGTTACTTGCTAATCGATCTACAACTTCTTCATTGATTGATGGGTAATAGTTGGTGATAGTGTTTCATGAAACCAGTTTTGTTTTGCTTCACAATAAATTATGAATACATTGATTCCCGCTGACGGGTGATTGCTGTGGCAAAGATCAATAGAAATAGCTGAGAGACAGGCGAAACGAAGGACCCGCATGGTGTGGTGGTGAACGCGTTACTTCCCGGAAAGGACAATAGCGCGTTCGTTCTCCATCACAGACACCTGCGGTCCAGAGTTTTGCAAATATCTCGGCAACGTTGTGGTTGCATTTCGCTTAGTACCCTGCTGCGAAATTATAATAGGCAGAAAATAAAAAGGTATAACAATATATTGATTATTCAAAGGCTAACGCGAAATTCTTAGATAGATTTATTTTCGCCGATATTTGTGTGATACCACTCACAATCATCAAGACCACCCTGATTCGATTCGAGTATCTACCAGACATCCAGTTTCCAGCGATGTTGTATTATTCTATTCCGGCTCCGGTTGTATTTAGTAGAGTGGGACACTAATGAAGAAACCTCCCGTTTGATGACAACGATTTTCTTTCCGCAAGGAAGAAAGGGAGAGTTATAGGGAGCCGTGACAAAAGGAGTTCTTTCGCCATGTAGTAATGTGTAGCGAATTGATGCACAACAAATCTTAACAATGCAAGTCATTGTGAAATAAACATCCTTCTACTGTCAGTGAGGATACTATCGTCTAATTGAAGTATTGATGGTGTTGGTCTTCAAGCTCTCGATTTGACGCTTCCCATCTAGGGAGTTGGGGATTTATAGGTTGGTGGCTTGACAGTTACAGTTACCTCTACCTCTGATCGTCGTAAAGTAAGGTGGCAGTGGGTAAGTATGGTTGTGATTCTTGAGTCTTTTTTCATAGTTTTTCACTTTGAGAAAATTTAACGCAGAAGTGATTCGGACTTCTAGCAGTCTCTAGATAGAAAAAAATACCTTTGTGATCATTCCGTTGACTAATCGGGAGTGATGCCTTGGTAAATTGAAACGTCGAGAACAGAGAATCATAAAAGGGATAAAAAAGAAACAAAACTCTTCTTGATAAATTTATTATCACACATCAACTTTTCTGGATATTCAAAGTTTTATTTCTGGTTTGCCAGTGAACGCTGTATTTTTCAGTCCCAGACCTCCGACAATGATCTGTTGTGACTTGTTGAAGTTCTCCATTCTGATTGGATTCGTTGTTGAAGCGGCTGTGGTTGAAAATATGTTCCTGAAGAAGTAAAATCTAATGAAACCGGATTAACAATAGTGTGGAGCCGATATAGGAATGGTTAACGTCGTGTGAAGAAGCTCCAAATGTGTGCTGAGCACCATATATGATCAATCACAGAATTGCTCCAACAGAGCCCACATGTTTCTAATAAGGTTAGTCAGTTTAAGATCAATTTTGCCGAGGAAACCTCCGCTAAAAATTTTCAGATAAGGATCCAAACGCTAATTATCATAATGCTATCAAGATTTTAATAATTCTTAAAGTTATAAAAAGTTCTTAAAGTAAAGATTGATCGTTATGTTTGGAGAAACCCCCACTTCTATGATGATTCCGCCTTAGGAGCTCGGATCAAGGAGCCACATCTTCTGCTTAGGATCTCAGAGACTTCTTTGCACTTTTGTTAATGTAACTGGATTGGAGTGAAGGAAGTCTGAATTTGTTCGCTTACCTGTTTACTTCGATGTTGCATATGCTTTCCACTTGACCAAACTGCTTTACATTCGGTACTGTCCAACCAGCAAATGGTCGGAAATCGTCAAAGTTAGCAGGTGATTCGCTTGATAAACCAGCACCATACACGTTCCAGTACCTGAAAATCTATTGCATTGCTTTACCACTCTTAGAATAGTTTTGATATAGCCATGTTAAATTGGTGGAACAACCATACAACTACCGACAAACCCACCAGAGCATAACATTACTGGCGGTGGCGTAACCGGTAATTTGGCTCCAATCATAGAAATTGGTGTAGATGCCGATAGTAAGTCCGTACGTCTTGAATTACTCTCCAGTTTTTTTTTGCAGTTTGTAAAGAACGTTGAATAATTTTGTTGACCACTTACATTAGCTCTAGCCAGAATACTGTTAATGAAGTCGATGTTCGTTCGGATGGATGAGGACCAGTTTATTGGTGATGTAATCTAAATTTTCATCGTAAGCGTCATTCTTAGGAGTTTAACACTTGGCGAATAATTTCGTTTTCACTTTCTTGATTTAATAATGCCCAAACGCAGTGGTTAGAAATAGCTGATGATGTATGGCCGCTGGTTCGAAGACTCATCAGGGAAAGCAATCCCTTCCGCATTTGCAAATTAATGGCAGACATGTCTTCGTAAAGTTCTTTTAAATATAAAACATCCGGGGACTATTTACAATAAGTACGTGAAAACCCTGTAGTAGAGCTATCCTAGGATTTCAGGAAGGATGTCTCGACCAGCATTAAACCACATTTATGAAGGAAGCAAAGAATGACCCCTAATTCACATGCAAATCCGAAGACCTCTTTGAAGAAGGATGTGAAGAAACAGTCTAAATTAAAGAAAAGCTAAGATCCGCATAACATATAAGGGCTGGTTGCTCAAAAATTATATTGACGTTAATATATTACAATTGTAAATAATAATTTGGAAAATAAAGGGTAATAGCGCGTTTGTTCCCCACCGTGAGCACCTGCGATCCAGAGTCTTGCAAATATCTCAGCATCATAGGGTATATTTCGCAACATACCCTGCCATTAAAAAGAGCAGGCAATAAATAAAAAGATTAATGTTTGACGTTTTTATTTTCTGCCTACTATAATTTAGCGGCAGGGTACTAAGCGAAATACAACCACAACGTTGCTGAGATATTTACAAAACTCTGGACCGCAGGTGTCTATGGTGGGGAACGAACCATGTGATTACTGTGGCAAAAAGATCGATAGAAATAGCTGAGAGACAGGCGAAACGAAGGACTCGCATTGTGTGGTGGTGAACGCGTTACTCCCCGGAAAGGATAATAGCGCGTTCGTTCTCCACCATAGACACCTGCGGTCCAGAGTTTTGCAAATATCTCAGGAACGTTGTGGTTAAAAAGATTAAGATTGTGATTATAACTATAGCCTCAACTTAACTGGGCTCATTGTCTATTTGGGCTACCCAGATCAGTCCCACTGACGGGTGATTGCTGTTGGCAAAAGATCGATAGAACTAGCTGAGGGACAGGCGAAACGAAGGACTCGCATGGTATGGTGGTGAACGCGTTAGCCGCCGGAAAAATAATAGTGCGTTCGTTCCCCATCGCAATCATCTGCGGTCCAAAGTTTTGCAAATATCTCGGCATCATAGAAGCTATATTTTGCAGCATACTCTACCACTAGAGGGAGTAAGAAGTAAATAAAAAGGTTAAGATAGTAATTTAGGCAGTTGGGATATTATTACACTACGATTGTCCGTATTTGCCTCGCAGCAATGTTGGATTGTTGGCTGTTTATAAAAGCGTACCTGAATCCACACAGATCGAACTGTTACTTGGGAATTTTTCAGGTTGTTGTACATCTCATCGAATTGTACAGCTCCACTTTTTACGGAATTCGGTTGAGGCGTCATGTACACTTCAGTACCGACACCAGCTGCAAATATATTACTTGAGTTTTATGAAAACAAATAAACAAATGGAGAAATGCCTGATAGAGAAGAAATGACTCAGTTTCTAACAAACCAGCGTAAGCATTGCGAATATTGGACGAAACGTATGGATCGAATTGTCCTTGAGCCGTCGGACTATAAGCTCTGTAAAAACGCAACATTCTTACATATCCGAAAATCATGCATGAAGAAGGGGCGCGTGCGGCGCAGTGGTCGGAGGCGTCCTACAACACACACATGGAATCGATCCCCGCGCCCATGGCCCGCCAAGCCTTCCATCACTCCGGGTCGGCAAATTGGTACCAGACTTGTCTGGGAGGATAGCAGCACTAGCTTGATACATCGCCGAGAGCTCTACCCTTTATCGTTTTTATCTGAAAATCACTAAGCATTCAGATAGTTTTGAGAACATAGTCCAGAAAAGTATTTTTAAGGCCGCTTTGAGTATTAACACTCTTGCATTATCGTCCTCTTTCGTCGTATTTCTTCAGCTGTTGAAAAATCATTTCAAACGAAGTCAGTCATCATTTCCAATATTCACGATTGCTTTTCTCTGAAAAACTCTCTTTTAAGAAAAAAATAAAGATTTCTGGGCGTGGAACCGCGATGAATAGTTGGAGTTCATCCTTTTACTGCTCATTACAGAATCCAACTTGAGAATTATTCCAGTAGGTCGATTTAAGCAGTCATCTAAGATGAAACATGCCAGGAATCACGTTAATCTTGGCAACGAACTAATCACAAGTCGGTAAACCTCTGTAGGATTATGAATGTGTCGTTTTCTTGTTCAGCAATCGCGAGGTTTTTAAACAGCATACATTTACTTCCATAAAAACACAATAC